GTTTTGATTTCTTCTCTAATCTCATTGTTAACCCATTCATTGTTTTGTAGCATGTCATTTAGCCTCCATGTGTTTGTGTATTTTTCTTTTTCTTTTTTTCTTGTAATTGATTTCTAGTTTCCTGCCATCTGGTTGGCAAAAATGCTTAATATGATTTCAGTCTTCTTAAATTTACTGAGATGTGTTTTGCAGCCTAATATGTGGTCTATCTTAGAAAATGTTCTATGAGCACTTGAGAAGAATGTGTATTCTGCTGCTTTGGGGTGAAATGATCTAAAAATATCAATTACACCTATCTAGTCTAGTGTACCATTTAATGTTGCTGTTTTTTTGTTGGTTTGCTGTCTGGAAGATCTAGTCATTGGTGTCAATAGGGTGTTAAAGTCCTCCAGCATGACCACATCACTGTCAATCTCTCCCTTTATGTCAGTCAATATTTGCTTTATATTATTTAAGTGCTCCTGTATTGAGTGTATAAATGTTCTTAGAGTTATATCTTATTGTTGGATTGATCCCTTTATCATTATGCAATATCCTTCTTTGTCTCTTATTATAGCCTTTGTTTTAAAGTCTATTTTGTCTCATATAAGTATTGCTACCCAGCTTTTCCTTATTTCTATTTGCATGAGATATGTTTTTTTCCATCCCTTTACTTTCAGTCTGTGTGTGTCTTTCGATCAGAAATGGGTCTCTTGTAGATAGCATATGCGTGGGGCTTGTTTTCTTACCCGTTCAGCTACCCTATGTCTTTTATTGAACATTTAATCCATTTACATTTAAAATGACTACTGATAGCTACATAGTTATTGCCATTTTATTATTTATATTTATGTTATGTTTTTCTTTCTGTTCTTCATAAAGAAGTCCCTCTAACATTTTTTATAATACTAGTTTGATGGTGATGAATTTCTTTAGCTTTTTCTTGTCTCAGAATTTCTGTCTTACCTTTGATTTTAATTGATAGCCTTGCTGGTTGAGTAGTCTTGGCTGTAGGTCCTTGCATTTTACCACTTAGAATATTTTGTGTCAATCTCTTCTGGCCTGCAAAGTTTCTGTTGAGAAATCGGTTGATATTCTTATGGGAATACCCTTGCAAGTAACTAGCTGTCTTTCTCTTGCTTCTTTTAGGATCCTTTCTTTGTCTTTGACTTTTACCCTTTTAATTAAGATGTGTCTTGGTGTGAGTCTGTTTGGGTTCACCTTGCGTGGGACTGTCTGTGCTTCCTGGACTTGTATGTGTATTTCCTTCACCAAGTTAGGGAAGTTTTCAGACATTTCCTCAAATAGGTTCTCCGTACTTTGCTTTCTCTCTTCTCCTTCTTGTACTCTTATGATATGAATGCTGTTATACTTGATGCTGTCCAGAGGTCTCTTAAACTATTCATTATTTTATTCTGTTTTCTTTTTGCTATTTTGATTGGATGTTTTTTGCTACTTTGTCCTCCAAATCACTGATTTTTTCTTTCTAGTGTATTCCTCATTTCAGTTATTGTATTCTTCATTTCTGACTGATTTTTTTTTTTATGGTTTCTATGTCTTTTTTACGTTCTAATCTCCCTTTGTTGAAGTTCTCACTGAGATCATCTATTCTTTCTCTAAGTGTATTGAACATCATTGTAACCAGTGTTTTGAACTCTGTTTCTGGTATGTTGCTTTTCTCCATTTCATTTAGTTCTTTTTCTTGCATTTTCTTCTGTTCATTCATTTGGAACATTTTTCTTTGTTTTCCCATCCTGGCTGCCTCTCTATGTTTGTTTCTTTCTATCAGGTAGATCTTCTATGTGTCTCATTCTTAGCTGGATGGTTTTGTGTAGTAGGTGCCCTGTGTAGAGTTGGCACAGTTTCCCTAATCACCTGCCATGAGGGTTCCAGGAATGACCCTTGTGTGGGTTGTGTGTGCCCTTCTGTTGTAGTTGAGTTTTGATTTGTGTTGGCACGTCAGTGGTTGGGATTGACTCTCAGGCTGACTTGCTGTGAAGATTAGCCACACCCACAAAGTATCAGCTGCTGTATGGAGGCTGACCCCGTGGAGTGGGGTTCACTCCAGTGGGTTCATGTGCCTGTGATACTAGTCTTTGGGTTTGCCACCTATAGAACTAATCTGGTGGTGCTCTGTTGAGGTCTAACAGCAGCCTCTGGTGTGCTGATTCTAGAGCCCTTTTGGAGGGGCTCCCATGAGGCCAAAGTCAGCTGCTGCCATGTGTCTGGCCCAGGACTACCTGGTAGAAGCAACAAAGCTAACCATGTTTGGTCGCTGCCTGAACAGGACCTGGAGGAATGTGGGAGAGGCCACATGACTAACTGAGGCAGGCTGCCACCATGACAGGGCCTGGTACAGCTCAGAAAAAGGATCAGGGAACCCCCAGGCCTGTGGCTGTCTGCTGGCTACCCATAAGGCTCAGCAGATGAGAGCCTCACAGGTACCAGAGTTGGATGAGACAGGGTCTCAGGAAGTCACCAGGGTGGGACAAGTAGGTAATTTTCCCAGGTTAGTGCAGATTCAGCTTTTCTCAACCTCTTCTTCATTCATATTTTATTTGGTCCTACTACAAAGTGCTACAGATGAAGTTTCGTTCGTGATATAAATAATTAGCCTGAGCCTAAGTCATGAAATAATTTATGATTTTCTACAAGATAGCATTCTTCATTACAAACTGATGTTTTATGCTCACACACAGAAACACACATGTCAAATTAGTAAAACTTCTTCAATTTATTTCCTATATTTGTTTTCGTGGAATGGGGGTGGGGTAGGGGGAAGGCAGATTTTGAATTAAGAGTTGCCTTATAGTTTATCTGCTGTTGCTAATTAACTTTATAACCTTGACTCCGTCACTTAATCCTTTTTATTATTTAATTGTCTTTTGTAAAATGAGAGAGTTCAATTAGATACTCTAGAATCTCTTAAAAATCGTAAGATTATCTAAGAAAGTACATCATCTCTCTTGTTTAGAATTGACTTTCATTATCAAATGAGAAAAAGAAAAGTTTTATGATTTTCATTTTTAGAAATAGATATCTTTCTATATTATATTAGCTATATTATAAAAATAAAATTTGTATTATATAGATTCTCAGTTTTATGCATGTATTTTACACTAGCTACAAAATTTAGAGTAGAGGTGTGTTCTAGGCCAAAAAAAAAAAAAATGTTAATCAATGAGAGAACCTCTTCCCTTCAGGGTTATTTGAGAGAGATTTAAGTTAGTTTGTAGAGAAATCCTCTGGGCTACTACTTAAAAAGTAGATGAGTCTACATTTTATACTTGCCAAGAGCTTCTGGGGCAGTGGGAAGTTTTGTTCTGAACAATTATCAATAATAATTGATAAATATGTTTTTATGTGTGTGTACATAAACATTTATAAACACAAATACACACAAGTACACACAAGTACAAATGCATGTATATATGTGTAATCTTATTTAAGCCTTGTGCTAACATTAGATATTATTATACTCATTTTAAAAGCTCACTTGTTAAAAATATTTTGAAAATAAAATAAATTAGAATTTGACTTTTATTGGCAATTTTAATAATAAAGTGATAAATTCAGAGGTAGGAATTAATACAGATATTTTAACTGATTATAAAAACCTAAGTGATTTTCATTTAAAATGAGATTACTTTGAAATAATATTGTAATAAATGTGTGAATTTTTTAAAAATTAGTCCAGCTTTTCAGAAGTGTTTAAAATTCTATAGATATCTCAGCTACTGAAGACATGTTTAAAAAGAATTTGGATCTGGTCATATTATAAAGTGATAAACTAAAAAAAAATAAAACATTAGTTCCCATGATTATTATTTTCTTAAAAGCTTTTCAAAAGGTAGATTATTTTAGTATAATATTATCTGAAAAAAAAGTTTCGATGGTCATGTCTTTTAATTGAAACAATAAAAAGAATTTTGAGTTATTTTAAGAAAATTCTAGCCCCAAATAGAAATTAAAACAAATGTATTTTGAAAAGTCATGATTTTGTTAAAATAAGGTTAAAGCAATTAAAACAAATGTATTTTGAAAAGTCATGATTTTGTTAAAATAAGGTCGTGGTGGTTTTCTTCAAGATAGAAGACTAACTTTTTAAATTGCCATGTCTCATTTATATTTTAGCCAGTGTTTCTTCTGTACAAACCTTGAACATCTTGCTTCTTTAGCTTTTGTTGTATAAAGAAGTTTCAGCGTTAAGAAACATATTGAGTTGATTATGTCTATTAAAATTTTTTCATCCTTATAATAGAGCATCTTCTTATCTTTCAAAAAATTCCCTATCAATGTAAGGCTTTAATTAAATCTAATTTCTAACTTTTTATATTATACTCTTTAAAAGATTTTAGAACACAATACAATATACAGATGATATATTATTGAATTACATACTAGAAATCTATATAATTTTATTAACCAATGTCACCCCAATAAATTTAATTTAAAAAACACATTTAGTTTTGTTTCCAACTATTTTACACAATGATTATTTTATGATCCTGACTCTTGACTTGCATTTACATTAAGAGACTGATGTCAGCAATCGAACTTATAAAACACAACTCACATTTTGTTTTTTGTGCTATTTTAATCAATACTTATTCTGCTGGTTTAATAGGAAGAGAACCCCAAGGACAGCTTATATTAGCAGATATTTACAGAATCTTTCTGCTATTAAAGAGGTATTAAAAAATAAAATCAGAAGTCAAGGCAAGTTAATTTATTGGCTTCATTTGGACTATTTCTTTTTAAATCACACTATTAATATAAGTAGGAAAAGTCAGTACCTGAGGCATTTCCTTTCCTTTTATTAAGATAATTTCATTTAAAAAGAAAAAAAAAACATTATATTTTGGTGGTAGTTTTTTCCCTATCCTTTTATTCTGAATTATTTTATTATTTTCTATAAAAATTCAAAACGTTATTTCTTATAAATCCGACAACAATACCAACTGCAGTCTGTCATTAAATGTGATGTAGATTTTCACCTGTCTTGTCCTCTTTCTCTTCAGGCACTCCATCTGCACTGTGTATATTGAAGTGCTTCCTCCAAATAATCAAAGCCCTCCCCGCTTCCCACAGCTGATGTATAGCCTTGAAATCAGTGAAGCGATGAGGATTGGTGCTGTTTTATTAAATCTACAGGTATGCTCCTTTGTCTATATATAAAGTTCTGTAGAGACAACTTTGAAGACTAATGGATTTATTTTTGTGTAAGAGGGGTACAAACTCACAGGTCTGCTTGCACTCTAGTGAATGAAAATTCCATCTGGAAAGGAAAGCAGAGGTAATATGGATGGAGGGTTTCCACAGCTAATCTATTCTATTGATTGCCACAATTGAAGAATTAATGTTAGCTGGCAGGGATTAGCTACAATCATTACAAGAGAGAATGAAGGGAGTAGAAACATGCACTTGAATATTTTGTACTTTGCATCCAAAGAGTCTGCAGCTGACTATTATTTTCTGTCTTGGATTCTTTTGCCTAGCAGGATTTATTTTTGCCACAGTGTTGTATAGAGAAAATAACTTTAGATTCACAGGCTGATGGTAGGTATTATAATTCTGAGGCAGACAAGATTCTGTGGCCATGGGCAAATTTTGTAATTGCTTCGCCTCAGTCTATTTGTTTAAATGAATGGGATAGATATAGCTGATATTTTGATTTGAAGCTTCAGATTCATAGGCATATAAGTTACTTGCATGATGGTAGCTTGGTTTTTACTATTTATATATTCCTGACTAAAGCACATTTGGCCAGAGAATGCTATATCTTCAACTGAATTGACAGCTTCAAGATGGACTACATATGGTATTGATAATTGTCATTTGCTATAAAAATCATTAAGGATCATAACATGACATATTATTTTACCTATAAAAGTTCATCAGACAGAGAATTTATTTTCTTTTGGTGTTATATGAGAATAACAGGAGTTCCTGACATGAAACTCAGAAAGCTGGCTTGAAGGTTAGGAGAGATTTTAATAGATTAGGAAATTCCCAGCATCAATCTTTACCATGAAATGAGGTGACATAAAGCATATCTAGATCTTGCTCAAATCCTATTTGAGTATTGACACCCCCTTATTTAAAACATGATGATGTAAAAGTGAAAATTCCATAGAATATAGAAATAATGAAACAAAACAACCTCATTATCCAAATGTGGAAAGTGAATTTTATAGAAAGTAAATGAGGCCTAAGATCAGTTGATTGAATTATTATCATCTCCAAAACAAGGTTCATTCCACTGTATTCTACTTATTATCTGAAGCTGCCAAAAATTTCGTTGGCATCACCAGATATTTTTCTTTGCTTCTGCTCCAATATCTATTTTTTTTTTCCTGATAACTTGCGAGAGTTTGCTTTTGTTGTTATTTTGCTATTAAAACATGTGGGAAGCAAAATTATATGAAAGTAGACATATTAGTAATAAGAAAATTTGGGGGATTTTAATGGACAGAATAAAAGACAGAAATAAAACATTGCAGTTTCTTTAGGCAGGAGAAAACAGAAAGTTAAAGCAATAAAATAATAAAATATGGAAAACCAAATATTAAGACAAGTGCATTTAATGGAATAATACAATTATTTTATTCACATATATGGGTATTTATTTAAACAAGAAGAGAAGAAAAACCACTATTAGGTTTGTTAGAATCAGGCCAAGCGATTATAAATTTTTACATTTAAATATTCTTTAAGAATGTGCTTTTATATAATTTCACTTCCTAAGAGGTAGAACATGATTTTATTTGTAAGATGGTTAAGGTTTCAATATATCCCAGAGAAATCTTGGAATGATATTATAGGATGATTTTACCTGAGAGTTAAGGAGATGAAAAGGAGTTGCCCTTTTTCCTATCTCAAATTTCTCTAGTGCAAAAGCTGAGAAAATACTTGAAATAACATTTCTGTTCACCCTTTGTGCTTCTGGCAGAAGCAAAAGAGAGGGTACCAATTGCAGTGGCAGTATCTATTAGAAAGATCCAGGCATTTTTCATAGGCCAATAGCTATTTACTTTTGCTCATGATCAAGTGAGATTGAATTTAAACCAGTGACCTAAAACTCAAAAATTTTCCATCAAATTACTCCTCCAAAGACTTCTAATAACAGAATACATTAGAAGTACTTCTAGCTGCATCCTCATCTTTTTAACACAGCGCAAACCACTGTTGACTCACCATTCAATTTAGAAAGACAGAATTTGTGGGGAAATATATTTTTGAAGATAACAGACAGACTTCAAAATAATCTGTTTTGACTGAGACCAACTTGGTTTCTTTTCAGACAATAATCCTTGTATCTCTTTCCCCTTCCCCTTTTAAGTATTTTTCTTTCATTCCATCTCAAAGCTGTTTGGGAGGCTATAATTTTCATCAACGTATTAAGGCTGTTTTGCCTGGCTACTGTATTGAGGGTGTTCAGTAGAGGAAAATGGCACCCAGCTATTCTTTTGAAACTTCTTATGCTGATTAAGGTTAGAATTAGGTGGGTGTTTTTAATCCCCAAGCTGGTCAGACCTTGCTCTAAAGCATGATTCTATATTATTCTAATCTGCCAGTGAAATTTATTAGAATGGTATGCTGGAGCTAATTTGTACACTGGGATCAAGAGAGCCAGCTGTGTGCATCTCTCCTGAACATCATGTTCAGTTACGTAATATTGTTAGCTTGAAACTGGCCATGGTGGGTGTATTTATGTTATAAATTGGCAAATGCAATAAATCCTTATCCCTTACTCCAGAGCTTGTTGTTAAACTTTTACCAGCACACCACAGGATATACAGCCAGTTTCCTCAAATATTTAAATTACTTTATATTCTTCCTTATTCATTGCATTTGAAAAATCATTAGAAATTTATTTAAATTACTAAATGAGTTAACTTCAACTTTTTTTCCCTCTGAAATTTTGATCTATTTTCATCACTATTAAAATGAGCCATTGGTACCAAATGGGACTATGTATTTTATTCAAATATACCTCAAATTTTTTTTATCCTCACAAGAACATTATTTTCTTCTGAATTACCCATATGTATGGCTCACATTCCCACTGATGTTTAACCCATTGTTAGAATCATTAGCATAATAGCATAATTCTTTTCTACCCATGAATACTTGTATCATCGCCATCATTATCATGCTCATATAATAATAATAATATCTAACATTTAAGTGGCATTTAATGAGTGAGACACTGTTTAAGTTCTTATTGTATTAGTAAAGATAGCTAGACTATATGTCTACATGCACCCAAATTCAAAATTTTAATGATTTATAACTGAAAGATTTATATCTTACCCATACTGTATATTCATTGTGGATCAGTTACAGCTCTGGTATTCATCTTATTTCATTTAAGAATAATAGAGGAGCCTCTGTCTGAAGCAATGTTGTTCTTCTGACATAGGCACAACAAACTGGCTCTCTGTTTCTCCCAGAAGTAACAAATGAACTCTGCCCACATTTCACTCACTAAATCAAGTCACAAGGCTCCTCCTGGGTTAATCACAGTAGGGACATATAGTCTTACCAAAGGAGGCACACACTGATCTCATGGCTAAGTATGGTGTCAAAGAACTGAGTCCTTTTGGTACACTATTTGCTTTCTATGTTATTTCAGGCAATCGTTTTTCTAAATGATTCATTCCTGCAGATTATGGATTCCCATCCTGAGAGCATCCAATGACCGTTTCCTTACTACCTTCTGCCCTCTTGAAGGCACTGCTGTTTACTTTTTGGGTGTTTGTTATGGCACACTCCACTTTTAAGTACCAAATTGTGAATCGGTTAGGATAGCTAGGTTTATTGACAAATTTCACAGTCAATGCCCATCACAAGGTAGCAGTAACTATTATACTCAGTCTTTGCTTCACACTCAGACTGATGAAACAGCCTCAATCTAGAACTTTACTGGTCACATGGCAAAATCTGATGTCAGTAGAGCAGGCAATGTCTTATTTTCTCTAGAAAAGGCCTACCAATATTTTCAAAATAATTACTTTGAATATATATATATATTTTTTTTTATAGTATATACTTCTCACATATTTCCCCATTTAATTCTTATTAAACAAACAAACAAACAATGCAGTCAGAGCTATTATCATCATAATTTTACAAATGGAGAAATCGAGCTATAAAACATAGAAGGCTCTTTTCCCAAGGTCCTTGTGTAATCTATTAAGTTGTAGACAAAGGAAAAAACATTAAGGAGTCTGCCGAAATATTTTCATGCTTATCCACTATGCCTGTTCTACTTCCATTTAATATTTCACTTGCAGTGCAATATCACTGCAAGTCCTCCATCTTCTGTTCTTTGCCCTACTTTAGTTGTAGGGGGAGAGGTACTGCTTCCTCACTGTGGTCACTTTATAGTTTGGCTGTAACCACTATTCAACATTCATAAGTCTTTACTTGTTATTCATCCTACTTCCAGTCCTGAACACTGCCTATTTCACTTTCTAGACAAAGAAAAAAATATATATATTCTCCTTACAAACAGCTTATTGATAAACAGTCTTTTCTAGAAATAACTGGTTAATGTGTATTTAACAATCTATTCTTAAAAATAGAATGTTAAAAATTAGTTGTCAGAACACCAAATCCTATATCACTTCTATTGCTTCTGATAACAAACAAAAACATAAGTTAAAAAAATTGGTTTAGTAGGATTTGATGAATCAGAGTGTTTAATTCTAATTATTTTCTCTACCATATTTCTCAATCATTTATTTGATTTTATTTCTAATTTTTCACTTATAAGTCATTATATGTAATTAAAAGTCAGCTACCTTAAGCTGCTAAAACAGTTATATCTCTTTAACATATGTATAATTCATCATTTCATTTGGTTATCACCATGATCCTAATAAACAGACAGGTATTATTATGTTTATTGTCTGGAAAATGAGAAAATAAACTCAGAAATGGGTGGGATTGTGAGCTAGAGTAGGTTTTTTATTTTATTTTTTCTTTTGACTCCTAAATCAGGACTCTATCTATATCACAATGTTTTATTTAAGGCTATAGAAAAACTATTAAATTTTATGTTTCTCTTTTGTTTTTTTTCAGGATGTGGGTATCTTTTAAATTTAATTAGTTTTGTTTTTTTTCTTAAAAGTTAATTTTATGATTTT